AGTGTCTGCTAGAATGTTAAAAATGTTCAGTGTTAAATATTTTTAAATTGTTGTTTTGTAATTGATTTTTTATTTTTTATTTTTTAAAGCAAGACAAAACAGTAAAAATCACATTTTGGCTTTTTAATTTATGCAATGGTGAAAAAAAAATTGTCAAAATACATGGGTAAAAAAACTCGAAAAACCGTGTTCGGTATTCGGCCTTCGGCCTAGTGTTTAATTTTGTTCGGTTTCGGCCAAGAATTTTCATTTCGGTGCATCCCTAGATGAGATACCATTGCTTTTGAAAATCAAATGAGATAAAAAAAAAATAAGATGTCATTCTAATCACACAAGCAATTATTTTTCTTGCTGCAGAAAATTTTTTTTTAAATCTTCCTGAGGGGAAGCAGTTTGAATATAAATTGCAGCAGTGCATAATACATCATATCATGTCATGAACAAGATGAGCGATTATTAATACATGAATCAAACTCACTCAGAATGCAGACAATTACTGACACTGAACGTTTTCTATGCACCATTTGTTGTCTATGTAATATATGAATTTAGCTGATATTTTTGCAGCATTTTATTATATCCCTGTATGTAAACAGAGACGGATCGTATAGTGATTTAATCATAAATCAATAGCGAGATCAGATACTGTAACATTAACTTCTCATCCATCTTGTCTATGCTAGACTACAGTGATCTCAAGAGATCACGTGTGCTCCCAAGAGATCACGTGTGCTCCAATGCAGTCACTCCTGTTAGAAGTTTCTGAATCAATTCACTTCCCATTTGCATGAAGTAAAACTTTCTATGATCCACTGAAAATCAGCAGCTCTCACTGAAAATGAATGACTTGTGGTCACTTTATTACTGCAATTACTTTTAAATCTTTATTACCGCAAATCACAGTGTGAAAAATGCGTGAACTTTAGATTGGATTGAGCGTGAGGAGATGTTAACGTTTTTATTTCTGTTTATTTTTCCAGATATACAGTGTTGTGAAGACTCACACTTGTTTACAAGCAGGACGAGACTCTTGCCGTCAATCTGCACACTGTTGCTACTGTTTAAGGGTGTAGCACAGAGCGCTGCAGTGAAGATCACCACACCTCCCACAACCCAGAATCCTGAGTATAGTGGTGTGAAATTCCACAATCAAATCCCAGAGAGCAGTTAACAAGGCCAAGAGACAGCATTTGCTTTTTCTGTCTGATGCAAGACGACAACAAGAAGCTAACGCCCTTGGATAAACATTTTTTCCAGAACAATTTTTTTAATATATATATATTTTCTAGTTTATAAAAATTGTGGCCATTGGCAGATCTGAATTTTTAGATCTTACATCTTTTGGATAAAACAGTAATATGTTTCCCCTCGACTTTGGAAAGATGAACTTGGTATTGTTAAGGGGAGGGACAATTTAGAGTTCAAGCGATACTGATTTCCTCCACCATGTCATGGAAAAGAAACTACTTTGCATCTGGCAGCAGTGGCTTACAGGGTATATTCACCCCACGAACCATGACATCAATCGCCCCCAGCAAAGGACTCATCAATGAGCCAGGACAGAACAGCTGCTTCCTGAACAGCGCTCTCCAGGTAGGACTACACATGTTCATGCTATAAACACATCTTATATGTTACCTTTATACTTTTAGAAATCTGGTTAGAGTCTTTCTGAAATGTACAAATAGTTTCTTAGTTGAACAAGACTCTTGAAGGAAATTATTAGTCTTTATATGGTGCTTTTAGGGATGTATCTCAGATGTGGCTCAGTGTGGTCTCCATTAAACTTAGCAAACTTTGAGGACACATGAGCTTGCTGAGATGTTTTCATCAACTGTTTTGCTGTACTTGTAGTCTGTGAGGATAAATGTTGCGCAAACTCTCTCATTAATTAAAGGGGTCATATGATGCGATTTCAAGTTTTCCTTTCTCTTTGGAGTAGTGGTCGACCGATATTGTTTTTTTGACAGCCGATGCCGATATCTTGGAAAGCAGGGTGGTCGATGGCCGATATAAAGCCGATATAATTTTATTTATTTTAATTAATATTTAAGAAATGTAAAAATAATTTGAAAATGTATTAAATAAATGTGTTAAATAAACATACTTATACTTTAGATGACAAAAGGGCACTCAGTATTCTGGGAAGTTTGTGTGCATTGGGAATCATATTTTTTCAAATAACGCTAAGGTAACACTCATTTTACATACAGCACACAGTGAAAATTACATTAATATGGCAGTGGGCAAATGCATAAAGCGCAGCATAATTTGAAATCACGAGTTTAAAGTTTGTCGATCGCGTGTCTCCAGTGAAGCTGAACTCTCTGCCTGTCAGCATTCAATTCACACGGATCGACCGTCACGCAGAGAACACGCGATCATGCAGGATACACATGCATACTTCACAAGATCTCACAACTGGATCCGACTACGTTTGCAAGGTTTGTGAAACTAAATGTTCATTAATCATTCAAAGATTTGTTTAAATGATATAAATGCGTATTTGCTGAATGCTGACGGCAAACGAGAAAGTATTATAATGTTTGCCTTTCTATTACTAATAATATAAAAGCAATCGTTATAATACTTTTTGTATACATTTTAATTCCTTTGTTTAACCGTTCTATCTGATTATTAGACAGATTTCTGTCCGTATTAGACAGAACTGTTAACGACGACAGCGAACAAGAGGGACAATGTGAGCACTGTGTGCTCAGGCGCTGCCGCTCTCAGCGCAGTCAAAATAAAAGTCCCACCTCGAACGCATCAGCCAAACAAGAAAACTTATCGGCCGATGCTGACATTTAAAAAAAATGCCAAATATCGGCCTTGGCGATATATCGGTCGACCACTACTTTGGAGTGTTACAAGCTGTTCGTGAATAGATAAGATCCCTAAAGTAGCAAAGACTAAATTCTCAAACCCAAAGAGATATTCTTTATAAAAGTTAAGACTCGTCCACGCCCTCCTAAAACGCCTCGTTTAAACACGCCCCCACATGTCTACATCACTGCCCCCCCCCCCTTGTGATTAGCCATTTGAAGCAACAAGTCAAGCGGCTAGATGCATATGGCAGCAGTAGGAACGGTGCGCTGACTCTTCACTCGTTGTTCTCCACACCAGAGTATGTGAGTGGAGCGGTGTGATTTTGAATGGAGCGAGGAGCGGATTTTTTATTTATATTTA